CGGTGCCGGCTCGGGAGGGAAGGGGCTGCCACCCACGAGCGGGCAGGAGAGCAGGGAGGTTTCCTCCACTCGGTGCTCCCGGGCATCAGTCACACCCACCGTGATGCACCGCTTGGATTTTTGGGGAGTCGTAAGGGCTCCGGGGTCGCCAGAGGCAGAAGGAGCTGTGGCGTGGCTGGGGGGGGCGGTGGGGGGGGGGGGAAAACCCCTGTCCAGGGAGCATCTATCCCTTGGAGCTTGGTAGCAGGAGGGGCAGATCCTCCCCAGGAATCCCTTCGTTTCTATTTACTCTTTGATTTCCAGAATCTTCTCCTCTATCCCCAGAGCAAGGAAAGATGACATCTCTGCTCCTCTGAGCCAGCAGTGCCCAGGGACCAGCAGAGCCATGGAGCTGGAATATGAGCTGCCCAATGCCACCGCGTTCTGGTTCTCCCCAGCCTCCCCCTTTGACAATTTCTCTGTGGAGGCACCCTCCAACACGTCCCAGAACAGCACAGGGCAGCACTTCGACCTGACCAGCAATGCCATCCTCACCTTCATCTACTTCGTGGTCTGCATCATAGGGCTGTGTGGCAACACACTGGTGATCTACGTCATCCTTCGCTATGCCAAGATGAAGACCATCACCAACATCTACATCCTCAACTTGGCCATTGCAGATGAGCTCTTCATGCTTGGGCTGCCCTTCCTGGCCATGCAGGTGGCCCTGGTGCATTGGCCCTTTGGCAAAGCTCTCTGCAGAATTGTCATGACGGTGGATGGGATCAATCAGTTCACCAGTATCTTCTGCCTGACGGTGATGAGCGTTGACCGGTACCTGGCTGTGGTCCATCCCATCAAATCTGCCAAGTGGAGGAGGCCCAGGACAGCCAAAATGATCAACGTGGCAGTTTGGGGTGTCTCCCTGCTGGTGATCATGCCCATCATGATTTATGCTGGGGTGCAGCACAATCACGGCAGGAGTAGCTGCACCATCATCTGGCCAGGGGAGTCGGGTGCCTGGTACACAGGTTTCATCATCTATGCCTTCATCCTGGGCTTCCTGGTGCCTCTCACCATCATCTGCCTTTGCTACTTGTTCATCATCATCAAAGTCAAGTCCTCAGGCATCCGAGTGGGCTCCTCCAAGAGGAAAAAGTCCGAGAAGAAAGTCACCAGGATGGTCTCCATCGTGGTCGCTGTCTTCATCTTTTGCTGGCTCCCCTTCTACATCTTCAACGTGTCCTCAGTCTCCGTCCTCATCGTGCCCACACCTGTCCTCAAGGGCATGTTCGACTTTGTGGTGGTCCTCAGCTATGCCAACAGCTGTGCCAATCCCATCCTTTATGCCTTCCTGTCTGACAACTTCAAGAAGAGCTTTCAGAACGTCCTGTGCCTGGTGAAGGTCAGTGGCATGGATGAGGCAGACCGGAGTGACAGCAAGCAGGACAAATCCAGGCTCAACGAGACCACGGAAACCCAAAGGACCCTGCTCAACGGTGACCTGCAGACCAGCATCTGAGAGGACAGCAGGGTGGTCCTTCCTGTGCTCTCCTCTCCCTGCTTGCTCCCAGCAGGGTGGTGGCACGTGTGGAGCCAGGGCAGGAGTGCCAGCTTAGAGGACAGCAGTGCACACTTGGTGGTCTTCAGCTGAGCTCCTCCTGAGCGCTGGTGGCATGGCTTTCAAGCACTGGGAAGGATCAAGAGGAGTTGCCTTGCCAGGAAAACAAAGACAACTCCCAGCAACGCAGCACGTTTCACCACCAAAGTGTCATCGCGGCCACAGGTATCTCCTGCCTCCCCCAGGGTTACCCTCGGGGCTGGGTGGCTTTGGGGCTCTGTCCCAGGACAGGTTCCTGCCCGTGGACACACATGATGACCTCGGGAGGAGCTGCGCTGCAGCCGCGGGTGTGCACCGACACGGAGATGCCCTGTCCTGGTGGGAGCTCCCGGGCGAGTCTGAGAGCGCTGCCACCGTCACCCTCCTGCGGAGACAAGGATGTTTGGGGGTTGCGTTTTCCATGAGTTGTTAGTTACTCCATGGCCGCCCCTGACGCCTCTCTGTGCTGTGTGCCCGCCCCGCTGCCACCCTGCCCTGCGGGGACACTCGAGCACCCGCGGAAAGCAGCTGTGTCCCCGGAGCATCCCCTTCGGTCCCACCGCGCTCCCATCCTGCCTCCTCCAGCCGCAGGAGAGAGAGCCTTTCCCTCCTCCCGCCGTGACGTCGCCTGCCCATAGATTTTCTCCTCGGATGGAGGATTTCCCCCTTGTCCCCCCCCCGTCCGGG